AGTGCTAGATGTGCACATCATATTTCATGGCCTCGCTTCTTGTGATTTTTTCGCTCGCCTTTTAACTGCTGTGTACTCCTAATTTGCAAACAGCAGGTTTGTTGGTTGTTGGTTAATCGTTTTTAAGTTCTCGAGAGTACTGAAATTCAGGTGCGGGCATACCGGAGGCAGTTTCAACACAAAAACGTATATTTCTACAGTTTCATTTCAGCGAAAAAGGAACACATTTTTACAAATAAAGATTCAGTTTCCAGCAATAATAATAATCAAGTGAGGTGACAAGTTGACTCGACTTGGTCCTTGTGACCACCAATACCCGTCAGAATCCACATCTATCCGCGTTCAGTATTATCCGCTCCGCAGCTACTGCTTTTGCCATAAACTAGAAGGTAGACGTGCTAACAAACTCCTCTGTGTCAGCAGCATCTTCAGCTTGCCTTTGGCCTCTGTTCTGTTGTCGCTGCTGCTGCTGTTGCTGTCCATCTGCCGATCGCCATTTGCTATCACCTTTGTTCGGTTCGTAAAATGAGCCTTTTCTGCTCGCTACCAGCGATATGTCAGCAGAACCTGCATCTCGTTTGTGACCTGCAAATTTCATATGTGTAATTCGCTTTTTCAGCACCACCATACATTTTGTCATTTCAGAGAAGTCAAGCTGTTCTACACTGCTCGGGACTACTTGTTCCCAGCTCTTGTTTTTCACACACACACACACACGCATATGAATATCGTTTCTTCGAAGACTCTATAATTCTCATTTTTCTGCTGCCTGTAACGACCAATGAAAGATACTGGCCAAATTTCAACAAAACCACAACCAGTACATCCTATCGAACAAATTCTGCTTTCGGTCGTGGTCAGGGAGATGTTTTGTACAAAACTCACCTGACTGTTATAAACCTGACTTGCTTATCGCATATATGATGTTCTAATGACAACAAAGGAGGTTTTAGAAATTTTTTTCCGATGGGTACAAAGAAGAGACAAGTAGCACTGGGCCATGCTGAGGGTGAAAATTTGCATTCGCCGGTGGAACAACTAATCGTTCTTTTATTTCGATGGTAAACTGATGCTGATGCTTGTCAGGGAATCAGTCTCGCCAGGGTTTACTTGTAAGCGTCCCTGAAAATAGAGACCATCGATGGCTTTGCCAGCCAGCAGTTGTTACCGGCACTTGTTACTGCTACAGCAATTTCGCGAATCTTTCCTGGAAAGTGAATTCGAAAAGTGTTTAGGTCTTAAGATGTTAGCCGTAGTAGCTGCTGTAGTAGTAAAATGGGTACACATGCAGAAGGCGCTGGGGGAACCGTGCAGTAATCGCTGTGCAGGATTCGGAAAACGATAGCGGCACTCAAATTTGAGATCCTTGCATTAGCTGCTTTCCGCAGCCTTTTCGGTGTAACTAGATCTATCACAAAATGTGGTTGTCACCCTGCTCACTGCCAAAATTGCAGTTCACTGTGATGATTTAGTGCACCTGATTTGCTGGAGGAAATGGCCATTTTTTAGTTTCACGTATGTCTGTGCAGTCGTCTTAAATGCATACTTTTAATATGCCACTGTTATTTTACCCGCATATATTAGAACGGCCACCGAGTCATCATAATGGACCTCATGGAAATATACCGAAAATTTGGCATGCACTGCTTGCCGCTTGCTGCACAGTGAAAGGACACCTGGATTCTGATGTTTCTGGGATGCACCAACAAGCCAGGCCCCCCTGTATTGAACTGCATGTCTCCGTCTACTTTTTGCTGCCTATATTACTTTTACTCCTCGCCCCTCCCCCC